AATGTTTATTTATATACAAGTACATGGGAAAGCAATTTCCATTCACCTTTTTTAAAAATTCTGTTACAAATAAGTCATTGATAAATTCATCCATTGCACACAAAATACATTCTTTTTACTTTGACTCTCAGTATGAATTATTTCTTAATAATAAACACGCTACAATGGACAGTCAGGTGGTTTCGCTATTTGGCAATCTTTTTTCAAGAAGAAAAACCTAAACTTTAAAAGACAATCGGTATATGAAGGAAATTGTATATGAAAAATTCTCCTTCATTGAACCTTAGAAGATTGAATGAGTACTCTTCTCAAGCATGATTTGTAGCTGTCCTTTAAAACAATAAAGAGGACTTTAGAAATTCTCTATAGGATAACTCAATTTCTATAAGACTGAAGTAGTCTTCATGAAATTGATTATCATAACTAAATAATAGGCTCATAGAAAAATTCTTATGGACTTATTGGGAAATTAGCCATTATTCAGGGGTCTCCTAATTGACCAATTGATAAGTTGCATTCTCTAAATAGGAGTTAAAGAAGTTTTGCTTAAATGAACACAAAAGACTTTACTTGCTAGACTAATTGCTTTTAAGAGAGCGATGAAAACATAGGCCCACACAGAAACTTTGTACATAAATGTTCATAGCAGCATTATTTATAACAGCGGAAACAACCCAAATGTCCATCAATGATGAATGGGCAAATAAAATGTGATTTATACATCCAATGGAATATTATTTAGTCATAAAAAGAATGTATTGATTCATGCTACAACATGAAACTGGAAAACATTATGTTAGTGAAAGAAGGCAGACACAGAAGACCACATGTTGTATAATTCTATTTATATGAAATGTTCAGGACAGGCAAATCTGTAGAGACCGAAAGTAAATTAGTGCTTGCCAGATGCTAGGGTAGGAGGGAGGGAGAGTGACTGCTAATGAGCACAGAGTTTCTTTTTGGAATGATGGTTCTGGAGTTAGCTAATGGTAATGGTTGCAATTACCATTACTTTGTGGAAATACTAAAAAAGCACTTGAACTGTACACTTTAAAGGGGGTAAATTGTATGGTTCTAGGTATTTTCACTGTAGGCATCTTTATTTGTCACTGCATAGACCATACAAGGGCCAGCTAAGATTTATATATAATGCAAACAATGGGAGTAACTGAGAGAACTTTGTCAATGAGGTAATGAAACCAAACTGACAACTAGCTTAAATACATTAAGTTGGCCAAAGGCCATTGATTCATCAATGAAGAAATGAAACCAAACAAACAAAATAACAGTCCACCCGTTATTTTATCTTTTTTACAATGGTTGATCGATTCATCAATGGAGAACTGAAACAAAACAAACAAGAAAACCCTGTCAACCAGTTATTTCATCTTTTTTTTTTTACAGCAAAATTGCCTTATGGACAATCAGTTACGCAGCAACAATGTTTGCAACAAAAATGCTTGCGGCTAAGATGTCTACCACAAGATGCTATGGTGAAACTACCGGACACAGAATTGTATGGTGTGTGAATTATATCTCAATTTTAAAAGGAGAGATGCAACTTCATTTAAAATATTTTGTTTAGATTCCAGTTCCCTATCCCTCCTTTTTAATATTGGTTGAAGTTCTCATACAATTGCCTTTCTACAGAATATTTGCAGCCCATTGCACTCAGGTCATTATGGGCTTATGTTTCTATCAGCCTTTATATTAAGGGGAAAAAACATGATCACATAAGACATGGTACAGTGTACTGCTAATAACTGCATATTAACATTTAAAATCAAGTATTATGTTTGTACTGAAGCTGCTGGTTATATTTTATATACTGGTGTATTCAGGTATTACTGAGAGCCCATTCTTAAAACCAACAGCCAAATATTAAGAATTGAGTTCCTAAGATTTGATGATTAACATGTTCGTTAAAACTACATATGTTAAAGATCTATGTTCCAGTGGAAAGAGATAGGAAACGGAGAAATCAGGGATTCTCAAAGTCTTCATAAAACAGCTTCTGTAAATGTTTTTACTTGCTGCTAAGAAGACCTCCAGAATGATAGACTTTGCGTTTTATTTCATCCCTATACTAAAAGTCACACACTCAAGTGTATGCAACAATACACCATGTTTTGCCATGCATAGTGCGCACTTCCCCTGCCCCCGAAGTTTCTGAGGGAAAAACAAGGGTGCGCATTATACACGGACATTAGTAAAAAATTAAATTGAAAGATTTTTTTTCCTCCTGAAAGTTTGGGCCCAAAAGGTGGGTGAGCATTATACACAGGAGTGCATTATACACAGCAAAATACGGTATATGGGGTTGCGCATTTTTTTCCCCTGTAGATTACCAAAAATCCCTTAACCCTGTATTATCTGAAATTTGAGCAGAGTTTTTTTGGTGGAAAACAGCAGTTTTACTCACAGATGTTTATGTAAATGTATTGACATAAATACATTTACGTAGCTCCTTTACGTATCATCAAAGGAGCTCCAACCATCTGGTTTGTCCAGAGAACACTTCGGTGAACAAGAATTAGAAGTCAGCATTCCAGCCATTTGAAATTTTCTACAAGAGGGACATGAAAGCCCCAGCACACCTTAAAGGGATAAGAGGATTTTTTTAAAAAATTGTTTTTATTTAAATCAATTGACATTCATTGTCAAATAGCCTACAAGAAAGCTCCACTAGCATTCTGCAATTGTACAGGAAAAGGGAATATTTATTCCTAATGATTACATTCCAGAAAGCAATATGGTGAACAGCTGTTTTTCAGAGGGTTATCAAGTCTTGCTATTGTTATTCAATCCAGGCATAACTATGTAACCTTAAACAAAAGCTATGCACCGTTCAATCAATGAGTGACAAATTATTCTAACAGGCCAGATTCTTTTATTATGCTGTACATGAATTTTTGTTTTATTAGGCATATGGTACTCCAAGTTTTATTTGAGAATTTAGTGCACATGTAGAAAGGGAAAGAAACCCTATTAAATTTCAAGGTTGGTAATTATGTCTATTAATATCATCTATGAAAGTAAACTCTAAAAGCAGATTACAAAATTAGAATTGTGACTCCATTTTTACTGAGAAAACGAAATGAGCCACACAACCAGAACAATTCTTCAGAAGCACACTTTGTTATCATTTATGTTACATAAAGAAGAGAAATACATGGATAATTGAAGAGTTAACCAACAGCAACATTATGATCTAAATCTCATACCAATAAGAAGCTGAGTTTATAAATACCTAGCCTGACATTCCCCAAGGGAATAATTATTGTCACCTTAATGAGCTTTTCTGACTGTCATTAAAGAAAAACAATGAGGCAAAAGGGCAATAACAAATGGCAAACTCAGACCCCTTAAAAGAAAATAGAATCAACCCATTTTTCTTCCCATGGAGAATAGGATCAAGAAGAAAGAGGTTCAAATTGCACTGTGAGGTATTTCATTAATAACGTTAAGTTTGCTGATAATGAGGAGTTTACAACCCTGGAATTGCCTATTGGGGGGAGGGAGGTAAGGAGGGAGAGAGAGAGAGGGAGAGAGAAGGAGGGAGGGAGGGAGGGAGAGAGAGAAAGAGAGAGAGAGAGAGAGAGAGAGAGAGNGCTGATAATGAGGAGTTTACAACCCTGGAATTGCCTATTGGGGGGAGGGAGGTAAGGAGGGAGAGAGAGAGAGGGAGAGAGAAGGAGGGAGGGAGAGAGAGAGAGAGAGAGAGAGAGAGAGAGAGAGAGAGAGAGAGAGCCTTTCCTGAAGGATGTAAAGAAATCCAGAGGCTCTTGGGTAACAGTAACATCCAAAGGTAGACTGATAAATCAAATAAGTGACTTCCTTTTAAGATCCTTTCAGAAATGGAGCTCTTTGAAGTCAAGAGGGGTTCTTTGTTTAGTCCTAAGTATCTTTACTTGCATCAGACCATCCAAAGTCTGCTTTTAATCAAGGAGAAAAGAACTAATATTTGAGTCCTTATTGTTTACTAAGCACTGTATTTTCAATTTATCTTAATTTTCATAATAATCCTGATAGGTATTGTCAGTCTATCTCATAGATGAGGAAACTGATGCTCACAAGAGATTGTGCTTTGCTAATTAATTCATGGCAGTACTAGGACTCCTCACACCATCTATCCACCTCCCTACATCACAACCCACCAAGGATTCCATCAGGAGCTAGAACACATCTCCACAAATTACACTTTAACTCAGTGGGAAAGTAGAATGTTAACTCATGCACCTCAGGTAGTCAGTTAAAGAAGAGGTAGCTCGCTTTTATGCTCTGACCTCTCAGTCAAAGGAGTCCAAGGCAGTCTCACCCAAACTCGAGTGTTTCTCACAACGCCAATGAATTTATCAGCCTAGGAAGGATGCATGTTATTTTGCAGGTGGAATCATTTGGATCATGAGATTTGTTAGCAAATTCTGCTTATAGTTAGTGATCTCTGATTTTCAAAGACCTGTGTTTTGTTACTTTCTATATGAAGCAATTTGGCCTCAGTTCTGTTAAACTCATTTTCAGATCATGTTTTCTCAAGAGAAACCAACTGACCAAAGGTCATTTGAGATTTTTCCAAAATAGATCTTGGGAACTGCTTATGCCAGCGACCCACACACCCATCTCTGATGGGAGCTGCAAAACTTCATGTTGGTGTATTTATGGGATCTTTGCTGTTCTGCTTAAAAGGCCTATCCTGAAATCCTGAAGACACACTAGTTATTCACAACTGAGCCTGGCCTGTGTTTGGCAAGTGACAAATATACAATTTTCATGATTTCCTGTAACTTCTACTAATAGTAGAACAATACATTTAAAAAAATTTTAACTCAAGAACCAGTTTTCAATAAATGGACTGACAGGATATCAATAAATAGACTGACAAAGCAATCTCAACCTAGGGCATAATTGCAAGTAGTCTTTTGGCCTAACACGTAACCAACCTCCTCCCTGGAAGGTAGGATGCACTTTGGGTAGAAGACCAAAGCCTTTTTTTTTCAAAACAAAAAAAATCATTAGCTCTGGGTCAACAAATATTTAAACATGTTATGAGGGGCAAAGTACTGCAAATAGAATGTTAATAGGTCATCTGGTCCAACCCCCAGCCAATGCTGGGATCCTTTCCACATCATCTTTGCTGAGTTCTTTCTAGCCTCTACGTGATAGAAACTATTACTCGAAGCAGCCCCTTTCATGGGGAACCATCTTTTTGAGCATGTTCTCCCTAACAAATCTGTGGTTCAGTGGCCTCTATTGAGTGAACCTCATTTCAACCCCTTTGAATTTCAGAGACTTGCTCTAATGTACTAATTGTAGTTCTCTCTCTTTCCCGGCTCAGTCGCCCCAAATTCTTCACATAGTCTTCAAATGTCTTAAATTCTAAATTCCTTCACCATCTTTGTTATGCCTCCATTTTGTTTTTAATTCCAAAGTATGGCTTCCAAGAATGATTACAACATTCCAACATCATGGACTTAGGAAAGATAAAGTGTCATCTCCCTTGGTCTAACTATATTAATTACTATATTAATTAGTTGTTTGAAGAAATAGTAAGTTCTTAATTCAGTATGCTTTCTACCCAGTGTGAAGAATGTAAGAGAAGGCAGTTTTCCTGCCAAACGTAATAGGCTCATGTGACAGAAATGAAATCCAAAAAGAAGAAAGAAAACACACCCTCTCTTATCCCAGAATTAGTGTTCAACTATACTGCTTATGAAGGAAGGTTTTTCACTGCTTTTGATTTTCTAGTTAAGTCTTAAAAGTATTATTATAGTTTCATTGAAACACATCTGTCAGGGCTGTGGATGAGGAAAGTAAGTAACCAGTTGCAGTTAAAAAAATTCTAGAAAAAACAAAGGGCAAACCCTGGAGGAGCTCTTCCAGAGACTAACAGGGCATGGGTCCCTAAAGTACTAATGAACATGAAATACACAAGAGTTCTGCAGGATTAGGAAATAGAAAATGTCTTATCTTTAAAGCCATTGGTTTGATATACAGTGGGGGTAGGGGGAGGGGAGAAATGAAAAAGTCTTTGTTCTGAATATAAGATGATATCTTATTCTGTGGCTTCGTTTATTAAAAAAAAGATGTTTTCATTTTAGTCAAAAGGCCAATTCAAAATCACTTACAACTTGTATTTATTCAGAATGACTCATTAACTAAAACTTGATGTTGAATCTGGAAGAATTATGGTATAGCTAAAAGGGTAAATGAGGCAAATCACTGATCTAACAGTGGAACTCAACAGGGTCCTCCAAAGGCATATATAATAGAAAAAAGAACAGAAGAAAGAAAAAGAATCCAGTCTTCTGTTAAATTCTGTCTCCTCCTTCCAACAAGTCCAAATTGCTTCAATAATCCTAATCCAAATATCTTATTTTGGCCTGTGATTTTTACCTTTCTCACCAAACTCTAAATCAGAAATTGACACATTGTCAAATCAATCCATTTGACTTTCATTTTTAGTTATTTTCTCGCCACTTTACTCACGAAGAGATGTGAACATGAAATGACTAAAAGGGAAAAATAAAGGCCAGGAAAAGCTAATAGCCTAATCTAAGTGATCCACAGAAAGGATAATTGGTCCCGTACAATCAAAATTAAATGTTAACATAATTTAACAGACCTAATAAAAGCATATAAAAAAATAAAAAGCCTTGCATAGGTATAGGAGAAAGCACAACATCCCTTGAGGATACAGTATACACAAAGCCACAATAAAACATCATTAATATCAGCAAGCTATATGATTTCACACATTCTCCCAGGCCTGACTCCATGACATGACTATGATACAGTTTCACTGGAAAGAAAAAAAAATTGCCATATATTTAGTAACTTTATTAAAAAAAGAAAAAGATCACACCAAAAATGGAAGCATGGTAGTCTTATGAGTCAGATGAAACCAAAATGAATTGAGAAAGCAACTCTCTTTTTCATCCACCATTAAATGAGAATTCACTTTTATTGAAGAAGTCTCAGCAAATAATGCCGTGACAGTAAGAACTACTAGGCAAACCAATAAGTTTAGGTCCTGGCCTGGGTTAAAAAGAGCATGTTTAATTAGTGTCCTTTCCCGAGTTCTATTTGAAAAATGTCTATTTAACCAAAAAAGGTTCCTCTTGGCACCGAGTCATTTATTCAACTAATAATTGAGAACCTACAATATTGCCAGGGATTATTCTCAAACTTGAGATACATCAAGGAACAAGTGTTCATAAGGCCTAATCTGGCATTCAAGGGGAATCTGACAACCAAGGGGAAAAGAAAGAAAGAAACAAAGCCCTACATTCTCATGTGTCCCTGCTGATGGGCCATGGATGGGTGACTGTAAATCACAGAGAGGCTGGGAGGGGTTACAAGCTAGAAAGGAACCAAGAGGGGAGCTTTCTGATCCCCTTCTGAGTACAGCCAAGGGTCCATAGAGGAGGCTGAGCCCGAAGGAATAAGAATTTCAGAATGCAAGAGTGGCTCTAGAAGCTTTTATTTTACAACTAAATGTGTCCCATCTAACAAATTCCTATCCTCTAAGTTAACAAAGCAAATTCATTTTCAACACACTTGCTGCTGGGAGATAAAGCTGGGTCTTGATGTATTGGGGTAACTGGATTTTTGCCCTAACTGAAAAATAATACACCTGAATTTAGGGACATTGCCTCACAATTTAAAAAAGAGAAGTTCTGCCCACCTTGATCAACTTGTTTTCTGAATACTTGCTGCCTTAGTGGGGAAGATGGGGAGAGAAAGGCAGCAGATATAAATTACTGTGGTTGGTGTTTATTAAAATGAGTTTTCTTTCCTGTAGATTGTAAGGTAAAAGCAATTTGAACTTCTGGAATCCTCTTACCACAGGATCACGACAAACACAGTGAGGCCAACCAAAAGTATCAGTCCCTTAAACAATATGTATCGTCCCCGTGGGCAAGAGATGGGTGGGTCACAGAAACCTGCTAGAGAAATGCTAGAAATTCTTTATCAGTATCGTGTCTCTACATGACTCATTTCTTTAAAATTAAATAGCTTTCAAACATCAAAGTATCAGGACCGAGATTGCCACCATCTACAAAAACAGTGGAATTACACATCCTATCCTTATTCCATTACTCATCCCTCAGTTATGCTAAGCAGCAAGCTATATAAACATCTGACAGCATCAACAGCATACATGTTTAATTATTTTCCCCAATTTGCATTTATATCAGTGAACAAATTGGAAGGTATCAAAGTATGGCACTGAAGAAATAGTAACGTATTCAGTAGCACATCTTCCATTTTGAGTCCTGGTTTTAAATTGGCTAAGTAAAGGCATATACACCTCCATTTGAATTGGAGATTTGCAGTAACACATGCATATCAGGAAAGGAGGAGATGGGGAAGAGTGAAGGAAGGAGAGGGGAGGGAGGGAAGAAGAAAAGAAGGGGGAGACCAGGACAGAAAGAGAGGAGAAAAAAAAAACCAGGCAAGAATATATGGTCTGAGAGGAACATTCCTACAAGAAGGAGGTGACAAATGACAATTCCACCTGCTTCCACAAGCAGAAATTTTCTAAGGTTATCATTGAAGATACAAAAACGGCTCATGAGAGTTTTCATGTATTGTTATTCTCACCTATCATACTAAAAATGTCTACAAAATCCTAAGCCTTGGTCTGTCCAAGATGGATAGAACCAGAAAGTAAAAGATGTGACCTGCTATGAAGGACTGTGCTCTGCTTGGAACTCGCAGTCCATGAATCCACAGTATTTTGGTCAGATCTGGTCTGTTTTCTCCTACTACTCATAATGTCTTAGACCTAATCTTTTATATTAAAATATTATCAACAATTTTTTTTTCAAATTTTTTCATTTGCTTAAAGGGCAGAAAAGATGGGAGAATTAGAAGAAAATGGTAAGATTTAGAGGGAAACAAGAAAGGAAAGCATTCTCTTTTCCAACCAATCCACCCTAGAAAAGGTAGCAATGAGACTTTGAGAAAAGAGTGCTGATTCATGGGCTTCCCTTATTTTTTTTTATTTCTATGAAATACATGTAAGGACATCAATTACTAAAAGGTTTGGTCTGTGAAACAGTGGAATCATTAGCACCAAAAGGAGTCATGGAGCTTGTATATATTATTAAAACAATAATTGTTAACTGTTGGTCAGGTAAGGGTTTCATTTCATTTGTACATCCCAAAGTCCTTGAAAGTGCCTGTGGACGAGAGAAATAACACTTTTCAAAATCTCCACGGGGTCGTCAGCACGTACCGCAGAGACAGTTCTTGGCCTCCGTAGTTTGGGTTTATCAGGTGGACAAGAAAATCAGGGCCCCCCGAAGCCCTAAAGAACAGCCCTCCACATGCACCCACTGATGTGCAGGAGGGATTCCCCTGGACTGAGTTCAGAAATGCGCTTTTACTTGCTTTTTTTAAAAAAAAACAAAAGCAACATGCTCTGCAGGTCATGGAGCGCGTAGTGCAATTTTCTCCTTGCTCTGACTCCAGACTGCAAAAGGGTCAAACCGTTATTATATTTTGCTAATGCCGGCCTGTGGGCGAGGCCCATGGCCTGCCACGCTTTGTAAACTCAGGAGCCACAGGAGTCAGAAGGTCTGCGAGCAGGAGCCACCATCATGGCCAGATCTCCCCAGCAACTCAGGGCCCAGCGGGGCAGCTGCTGATTTCTTTTGTTTCTGCTTGCCTCAGCCTTTAGTTGAAATTACAACAAGTCAAATAGCTGATGCTTTTCCCTTCTCCAGGTAAGGGTGACGATACATTGTTCACAAGTGTGTTCTGCCTGGCTTCACTGATGAGGCGGCAAGCTAAGTCAAGGAAGAGTTTCTCCACGTTATCAGATTCCTTGGCTGAGGTCTCCAGATAATACATGTCCTGAGCCTCGGAGAATTCTTCAGCTCTCTGCTGGGAGACCTCTCTCCTTTCAGCCAGATCAATCTTGTTGCCTAAATCAGTGGTAAAAATCACAGAAGGCATCATCATTTGATGTTTTTGCAGTCTTGGAAACATCAAAATTCAATTCTACATCTGAAGTTAAACCAGATGGGGCGGCAAGTAGAGCAATGCAAATGTGACCGTGATCACTAGAATCTTTATTTTTAAATACCGGTGCCATTTTTAATGGCAAAGAACTGGAAACAGCCCAATTGTCCATCAGTTGGGCTCTGGTTGAATACACTATGGTCCACTCATAGCTCTTTGGAGTTATTTGCCACTGTGAAAAGCAATAAGGATTATATCTATATGCTGCAAGGGAAGGAGACACTAGGATATACTGTTAAGCAAATAATGCAAAGTAGAAGAAAGTGCATATAATATACAACTGTTTATCTAAACAAAAAGGATGAAAAAAATATACACACAGTTTACTGGCTTATTTTTTTAATGGGAGAATAAACCAAAATCTTAATTTTAGTATCTGTGCTGCCAAAGCAAGCACAACAAAATCTTAATTTTAAAGATAACGGTTACCCATGAAAGGGACAAGATTGAGGGATAAAGAGGGATAGAAACTAGACCTCTCTAAATAGACCTTGTTTTATAGATTTGACTTCAGCATCTTACAAAATTATACAATTAAGCATGATTATACAATCAATATGAAATTAAATTTAAAAAGCAATTCCTAAAATTGAAAGCAAAAGGAAACAAGTAAACCTCTTTATCGTGAAGTGGAATAACCACATAAAGAGAAACTTTTTCAGGTGAGTTTAAGATACAGGAATTTAACTGCGCATCCCCAGGGGTATATACCTAGGAACAAAAAGAATTGAAGAAAGACATGTTGAACTGTTACAGTAATCATCTCGTCAGTGGTCGTGCTGCCACTGTTATTCTGAGGCGGCTGTGCATGTTTTAGAGGATAAAGTAAATGAGTAATTATGGAAGTGTCACTGGACAGGGATTTTTGGCATGGCAAAAAGGAAATACAGATATAAGATTAATGAGGTTAAGTCAAATTTCTGAAGTCCTGAATTATAAATGGAAATTTCAGTGTGAATAATTCATGGTGTATTTTATCTTTAAAATATTTTCTACCTCTATGCTCCTGGAAACCTGACAAAGGTGATATGTCAACTGTGTTACTTGGTAACGTTTTCTACGGTAAAAGTGACCCCTGATTGATAAATGCCATCTGACCTGGGAATTCTAGGTATGAATTATAAATACCTAACGGAAAGCCATGCCTTTTGGCTTCCCTGAGTGTGGTGATTCTTCATTTGAAGAGACCCTGAAAGTTAAGCCCATGGAGTTGTTATAAAAGAGATTGGCTCCAATGGAGCATTGAGGCTTCTCGGCAGGAGCAGATCCTGCACTTGCCTGAAGTGAGCCTTTTTCCTCCTACCTGAACTGTCCCAGGAGATCCTGGACAGCTATGGGACTGCTATGAGGACTCCTTCCACTGAGGAGTGCCTGATGCTGGCCTGCTGTTAAGCTGTGTTTCCTGTCCTGTCCTGTCCCGTCCCTGTCTAAGTGAATGTGATGCTAAGTGTGGCCTATGGTTGTCTTGTGAGTCAAATGCTTAGTACAGCCTAATACTACAACCCCTATGGACATTACAGAATTCACCGCACACACATATATGTTAGCTCTGTCCACTGAAAAGCCTAAAAACAAGGACCAACCCACTAATAAGGATGATTATTATCACCTTGGTTGTGGCCTCTAAATACAACTTCCCATTAAAAAGAAACAGTGCTTAGTAGGATTGAAAATTGGTGCAGCCACTATAAAAAAACAGTATGAAGGTTCCTCAAAGAATTAAAAATAGAACTACCATATGACCCAGCAATCTCACTTCTGGGTATTTATCTGAAGAAAAGATATACGCACCCCTATGTTCGTTGCAGCATTATTTACAATAGCCAAGATATGGAAGCAACCTAAGTGTCCATTGATAGACAACTGGATAAAGAAGATGTGGTACATGTATACAATGGAGTACTATTCAGCCATAAAAAAGAAGGAAATCTTACCATTTGCAACAGTATGGATGGACCTAGAGGGTATTATGCTAAGTGAAATAAGTCGGACAGAGAAACAAATACCATATTATTTCTCTTATATATGGAATCTAAAAAACAAACGAACAAACAAAACAGAGATAGATACAGAGAACAAACTGATGGTTGCCAGATGAGAGCAAGCGGGGGTACTGAGTGAGAAAGGCAAAGGGTCTAAGAAGTACCAATTGCCAGTTATAAAACAGTCATGGGGATGTAAAGCACAGCATAGGAAATACAGTCAATAATACTGTAATAATTATGTATAGTGCCAGACTTATCAGGGGGATCACTTTGTAAGTTATATAAATGTCTAACCACTATGCTGTACACCTGAAACTAATATAATATTGACTATCAACTATAATTGAAAAATTAAAAAAATAATTTTTAAAGTAAAAAAAAAAATCAGAATACTGACAGCACACCAAATTAAGAATGCTTACAAAGGTAACTTAGAGGAAAAACTGCCTTGCATAGTGTAAGTAATAAATATTTATTGGTTTGATTTAAAAAAAGAAACAGTGCTTCTTGAAGAAATGGTTAATTCCAGGTCTGGGGCAGGAACTGCACACGATGTGCCTGGAACACTGTTCATACCAGAAAACAAGAAAATTATCAGATTTCTGGGGTCATGTCAACAGGACTCAGGAGCCCATTTGAAGAAGCTCCAACTCTCAAAGTTGGGAGAGTTGGAGCATCGATAATAATAATTGCAAGGGATGAGAATACATCAAATATATTTAAATCTATAATGATATTCAAATATAAACAAACTTCAATAGTTACTTTTGAAAGATGTGAAGGCACCAACTCATTACCTTGAAAAGTGGCAAATAAAAAAGAATCAAGCATTTTTCTTGGCTTTCCTGTGAGAACTATACCTCAGAATACCAACTCTGAAATATTTTTGCTAAAAAAAAATGACCCAAAACATCTGAATCTGACCAAGCCTCTAGATTTACCTACAAATCTGCAAGAAATTCAGGTGATGGAGGAATATGTCAAATTACACCCACAGGGGTGAAATAAAATTCAGACTTGAAAACTCTACAGGACAAACAAATGCTTTAACAAATAAGTTCCAAGGGAGAAAAAAAAAATGGAGAGAGAACCTACAGATAAAAGAATTAAAAAAACATAAAAGTTAATTGTAACATATGGACCTTATTTAGATCTTGACTTGAATAAACTAAAAAAATTTTGAGTCAATCAGGGAAATTTGAACACTGTCTAAATTTTGAATGCTATTAAAGAATTGTTAATATTTTTAGGTGTGAAATGGCATTGTGGTTAGGTTCTCTTTTTTAAAAAGAAACTTAACTTTTAGAGATTATACACTGAAATTTGAAAGATGAATTAATACAGCATCTGGGATTTGCTTCAAAATAATCTGAAGGGGAGGACAGACAAAATAGATGGGGAACAGATAAAATAAGATTGGCTACAAGCTGATAACTGTCAAAGATGAGAGATGTGTATATGGGGAGGGATTCATTATACTGTTTTCTCTACTTTTGCTTATGTTTGAAATTTTCCATAGTAAAAAAATAATAACAAAAAAGCCAGGGCCTCTTTCATATGGCACTGACTAATTATCTCCCCTCAAATGTTCATTTAACTTCCTTAGATAGATTCCCAAGTAGTAATGCTTTGACTCGAGCTCTCAAGGGCTTTCTGTGGAACAGAAAGAAAGTCCAAGTCGAAAGCTGAGAAGGTTTCAGGTACTTCATGGCAAAGGTTCTCCAGGATGCAAGAGGGTTTTTAGGATTGGGCACAAAGCACTAGCTCCTAGGGAGACAGATACTTAACCCAGCTGCCTGAAAGAAAAGCCCAGCAGTTTGTTACAAAACAGCACATTAAGGTTGGACAAATGCAGGGTTTGTCGTAGATCCTACATGCTGTGTGACCTTAGGCAAAAACCTTCACCTCTCTGAGCCGTGGTTTCCTCATCTATAAATTAGGGGTCATGACACATACAGTTCCTAAAAGGATTCCTGGCATGTATATGCTAGCTATACTACTTACTATAAAGTGTTAACTTAACTTACTATTAGCCATAATTTGTAACTTCATGTTTCTAAGGTTTTCTACCCAGATTTCCAATTCAGGTCTTGCTAGAATTTACAGCAATATTCCTTCTAGGAAGAAAACATTTTTAACCGCCATATATTATTAACATCTTTCCATCACCACTAGAGGAATTTTTAATGATCTGGTCTATTTCACTGCAATTCCATTCTTAATGGGTGTTTTGGTTACCACAGAAAATCATGGGTTGTTTTTTGCTTTTCCTCCATAATAAAGAGAGAGTCTACACTCCTACAAAATGAGACAAACTGCAGAATTTCCCTTAGTGGATTCTTCCTGAAAATTAGAATTTCTCAAGTCAGCATAAATGTTAAGAAGGGGAAAAATTAGCCAAAGTCCATTTTTTAAGCAAAAAACAATTGCTTCAATAATGAATTGCTTATCAACTTAAGAGATCTACTTTAGTTCTAGACCAGCAGTTTCTGTGATCTCATAATTAGATTTTAAAACATGTTTAGCAGCTCACATAACTTTCATGGCAGTCTGCCTTCTTCCCTAGAGCCTGTGTTGATTTAAAAAAAAAATCAATCAGCAATATTTTCTACTTTACTTTTCGAAACCATCACCATGGGATAGGACCTATTTCATTTTCTCTTCAATTGCAGAAGAACTGGACGTTGACTACTTGAATTATATAGCTGTAGACTATATTCTTGGAAGGTAGCAAGGCACAAGCTTTATGTGATTATAACTTTTCTGATGCTCACAAATCAATTTCCCTCCTCATTAGTCCTTCCTTACCGACTAGCACAGTGATGACCTTGTTGCTGGCATATTGTTCTATTTCCCGCAGCCACTCAGGAAGGCAGCGGAAGGATTCCTCGCAGGTGATGTCATAGGTGAGGATCAAGGCATTGGCGCTCCGGTAATAACTCTGGGTAATGGACCGAAATCTCTCTTGACCTGCTGTGTCCCAGATCTGAAGCTGTAAAAGCATAAGCGAAGGATCAGTTTGGAGAAGCAGAAAAAAACCAAGCATTGTTTCACTTTAGGTTAGAAGTAGAAACACTTTCACTCAAATAATTTCATGGTTATTTTCTGCCCTAAGAAAAAAAGCACCTATGATTTATTTTTTTAACGTGTTATGTGTGTCTAGTTAGGGACAGGGGCTTGCTTTTTTGTTTTGTTTTATTTCTTTGTTAGATTACTTTATTTTCCCTTCACTCTTAAAAAAACCCAACCTATTGGGCATTTATTATGTGCCACATATTATGTGCTCTAGTCTAAGCACTTTATGCATGTAATAACTCACTCAATCCCCACAATAACTCTAGGAGGTAGGTACTGTTACTATATCCATTTCTCACATGAGGTAGACAGAGATTAATAAACATGCTCAACATCTCTCAGCCAGTATGTCCCAGAGCCAATTAAACCAGGCATTGTGGTCCCAGAGTTCATGCCGTATTACTATTAAAGTTGGATACATGGCGAGCTGTCATTCAGTGATGTCGGCATTTCAGTCAGCCATGGCAGAGGGAGAAAATCCAACTTCATCAGCTTCTCCAGTCCAAAATTCAAATGACTATATTAAGGCATTCTCCTTGTTAATGAAAACAGGGACAATGCTATGGAAAATAATAATTTTCCTCTCCCATTTTTAAGCTCTGTGACCTTGAGCAGGTAACTTAGTCTCTTTGGGCTTTAGTGGTTTCTTTATAAAAAAAAAAAAAGGGCGGGGAGGTAATAACATGTGAACCTGCTGAAAGCTCACATTTTCTGAAGTCACGTACCAGTCCTATGACTTAAAAACTGGTTCTAGTGCTCGCTTCGGCAGCACATATACTAAAATTGGAACGATGCAGAGAAGATTAGCATGGCCCCTGCACAAGGATGACACACAAATTCGTGAAGCGTTCCATATTTAAAAACAAAACAAAACTGGTTCTAATAAAAAAGAAAAAAGCAAAATACTTCTCACCCCTTCCTGAATTTCCCTGCACAGAGCAGAAGATTACTGAAAGAGAACTGTTCTCCAGAGCTACTGCTGAGTGCAGAAAAAATCAGAAGGCCTTGAGAAATAACAATAATCATAATCTTCCCTTCCAATTGTATAAATTTCACTTGTTATAAGATGCCTTTATCCCCACTAACAGAACATCATTTCCTCAGAGAAGGCCTTCTGGAACCTTCTGATTGGGCCAGGTTCCCCATCACCCCTCCCCCCAACTACACATATTCTCTCCTGCAGCCCACCCTATAATTCTTCCTCATGGCACCTGACATACTTGAATCATTTATTTATTTGTAATCATTTGTTTCATAGCTGTCTTCCTCACTAAGCTGAAAGCTTCACGAGGGGGAGGTCAGGGTCCATTTTACTCACAGTTTTCCCTGCACCAAATAGAGTGTCTTGGAACTAGTAAGATGTTCAAGTATTTATTGACAGTCTCATCTAATCCTTACAACAGCCCAACAGATTAGGCAAGTTATACCTCCCCTTCATTAACAGGAAACGCCATCTCCTAACTAGTTTCTCGCAAAGCTGGGACTCGACTCCAGGCCTTCTCATTCCCAGCATAGGACTCATTCCAAGCCACTCGGAGGCTGATTTAAATACACATCAGCATCCAAAGATGACCAGTCAGTTGGTGTCACCCGCTGCTCATAGCAGTTTGGCAGAGGAAACTGACAGGTGACCGGCATTCCCTGCCGCCACTCAGCAGCACACAGCTCTCATTTGGTTTGGAGCTGCAGCTGTGCTTTGATGATGTACATGGAAGTCTGTAGGCAGAAGGTGACCATACAGGTGCTGTGGCTTTGGCTGGGACCAAAGCTATTTCTCTGCTCTGCCCAAACCTAGGAACACGGTTCCCCTCTGCCAGGATATGTCTTAGAACAACAGACTATGCCACCTCGAGCCTCTAAAAACACTTGTGATTGGATTTAGTACTGTCAATCATTAGAAATCAGTGTGTTCTCATGACTAGCACATCTTGAGAATGGCTTTGAGAATTAAAGCCGCTGAAATATTTTCAAAAGTAGTGATTGGATGGCTTTGTCAAGGTGTATGCTGCTTTCTCATAGAGGGCTGCTGTTTCTAGGCTTATGATTGATTCTTGAGGCTATCCATATTCCATTGCCTTTATCATTCAACTCAGTTTCACCATTCTCTCTGCAACCCATTTGCTCCTTTTCAGCATTTATAGGCCATTAACATATGCAGAGCACTGTGCTAAGCACAGGGAGGATACAAAGATGAATAAAACACAATCCTTGATCTCAAAGAGCTCACAGTCTATAGGGAAGACAAACACAATGTTAACTAACCATAGTAAAATATGAGATGTTCTATTAAAGAGGCACCAGGAGGAGAAAGTACCTCCTGGTGCTAGTCTCATGCCAATCAATCTGTGGCCAATACCACAGCCAGGGGCTTTCTAACCACTCTCATCTCCAGTGTGGGGCTACACTGCTTACTCTCTTCTTTGCACCCGACTACTTACCCCTCTATTGCCTCACCGTTACAATATTGTACGGCAATCATTGGTTTATTAGTGCGTCTCCTTGCTGGACTGAGATCTTGGAGGGTAAGGGCTATTTCTTACTTAACTTTATAATCCCAGCACCTTCCTAATCCAGTACATGGTACATAGTGAACACATTTGAGTGATGGCTAACTGAATGAACAAAGACTTGTGGAATCATAAAGGAAGGATTGACTAATTCCATGTCATGATTAGTAGGATATTTAAGTGGGGAGCAAAGATGCTTTACCTAACACAGTGCTTGGCACAAAGCATCCACTGTAACACAGGATGGATGAATAAATGGGTGGATGGATGGTCAAACGAGCAAATACATGTGTTAAGACTTTCCTATCTATGCAAAATATGCTTGATTATAGAGAAATCCAAAAAAATATCTTCCTTATCTATTATGATTAATCTCCTAAAGTTAAAATGTTATAGACTAGCTCAGAGTTTTACGTATTACTCATTTATTTATGATAGACTAAAAAAATCAATGGATAGGGAAAACATCTATATATGTTTTAATTATATTTTCTACCCAAGGTCACCTTCATAATGCAGAGTGCTTTAAGGAAAGGGCCTCTTCCTCAGCCTTGCCTTTACTGGATATGGCACTAAGCCTTAAGAACTACAAGAATGTTTCTAATACCTTTCATTTCCTGCTTTCAATCTGGGGAGCCATCCTAGAAAGAATGAGACTTGTAGGGAAGGCCAAGGGGTAGGGGAAATGATGAGAAGTCAGGAGAGAGGCCTGCGTTCTGGTCCTGCCCTGCCATTGTCTCTATGGGGCTCTGAGAAAGCCTGCAAACCATTAGCAAAAAGACACAAACATCACCAAAAAGAAGTATTCAGTAAACGTTCAAGAACAAGGACAACAAAAAGATAACAACTATTTCCTTAGTGAAGCCTGGGCAGGTCTGCCCTCTTCTACTGAAAGACTAAGGAAGTTGTTCCTTGTGTGTCCAAGTGTTAATGCGGCCCTTGGATTAACATGGTTGAAAGGCTCATTTTGTATCTTGATTCTACATATATGGCTAGAGAAAGTCACAAGCAACTTGGTGAGGACTTTGTTTGGGAGATTAGCCAACTCCCACTTTTTCTGGATGAAGGTCCAGAGGCTTAGTAGGTGACAGGGACAGGAACTGTGCTGTGAATACCATAATGAGTAAGACACAAAAATTGCTCTTGGGAAGCCTGTGGCCTCATGATGCAGCCAGATGTTACAAAAAGATGGATTTTTAGCCGAGTGTAGTAAGCTCTTAAAAATGAGGCTGTGGGGCCGGCCGAGTGGTGCGATGGTTAAGAACTGACTTGGGATGCCAGAGGGCCCCGGTTCGGATCCCACATATGAGGGCCAGTGACACTGCCCTCCACAGCTGAGATGCTGAACAACAGCTCAACCTGGAGCTGGGCTGCTGTGAGTCGCCGGTGACGGCTTAGGCTGCAGCCCCTGTGGCAGTGGGTTGCCATGGGCTACCGTATGTAGCCAGCAGCCAGTGTGAGCGGC